TGTTACCCGCGATCCCCAGCCAACCAGAATGACTAATTGATGTAAATACTCCAACTTTTAATGAAGTTGGAAAGGGTATAGGAAGTTTGAAGCGAGTGACAGCAGCAGGCTCTGATAGGTGAATCCATGGAATTTTTAAAAATGATGGTCCAGTTTTAGCAGTTAGGTTGATTGAGATCTTAGGTAGAATTTGGGAACAAGACGTAATCCTAACTGACTGGTCTCAATCACTGATTGTCCCAGTCTTATAAGAACAGACAAATGTCCTCTTGTGACAATCACAGAGGAATCAGCCTAACTAATATAGAGTCTAAAGTGTTAATTTCCATAATACTTAGACGTGAAGAGCAGACTCGAGAAAACCAGGCTGGTTTGAAACCTGGGCGTGGATTTATAGACCAGATATTCACACTCTGACAGGTTTTAAAACACATACATACATACATACAAAACTACTTGTATTCATGGGCCTTACGGCGGAGTTTTGACTCTGTGGTAGTGACTGTCATTGAAAGGAGTACCAAAAAAAGTACATTAGCATGACAAAGCAACAGTATTGCGACTGATTTATGTAAACAATGTTCAGTCTTAAACTTTTGAAGTTATGGCATTCACTTATCACTTCATCGTATCCTATTTCTTTATAATATATAACTAGTACTTCCAATTATAAAGAATAAATATGATTCTTGGATTATCATTCATGAAAATCTCTAGAGCTACAAATTATTATTATTAGTATTATTATTATTATTACCCCATTATCAATGATAATGGGGTATTCAGAAATACAACAGAAAACTGAACAAGTGAATGTCAAAAAAACTTACATCAAGACTGTTTAAAACACGATAGGCATTTACTTTGACGAATTGACGTTCCAAGACATCATCATCAATGGAATAAGATTTATTAGGATTCAATACACGTGTTGTGTAAAAGAAAGGTTGGACAGCTAGAAATCCAGTGTTTGTATGATCAGTATTTCGCTTATCCATATCTTCTACACGCAGCGCAACACCAGGTAGATGCCTTATTTTAGTTGACTAAAGTCACAAAGTACAGAAAGGAGTTTAAGAAAATCATTTTTCCTGGCTGAATTCTGATTGACATCTGTTTTAAAAGAAAACTTAATTGGGGCTTTTATGTTTATGAGACCATCACCTTCATATCAGATGAAAGATATGTCGATCCTTTTTTAAATAAAGAGCCTATGTTAAAACTTAAAATATTTATATAAACATGGATGTATCATTAACCGTATGTTAACTAGTCATAGGATAAAATTCAATGCAAAGTATTTTTTCGCCACTGAGTAAATCATTCAGAAAATACAATCTAACGACTCAAAAAATAAACATGATAATCTTAAAAGTATGCAGTGGTCGAAGTCTAACAATCAAGACAGAGAACCTGTATGAAAAATGAGCAAGAAAAAATTTGAGCACTAACACACGCGGAAAAACTAAACTAGAAATATTACGGTTTGACGTGAGGGGCTTGATAAGGGAAAGTCGCTATTTGATCAGATGATCGAAATCTATTGGATTTGTTTCTATGCTGAATATTTACCAAACAAAATTATTTCGGATGCGAAAGCAGATCAAGAGCAATGTAAAAAATTAAGATTAGATGATTCAATAAACTAAAAGATTTGGTGAAAATGTGCATTGACTTAAAAGACTACACCTTAAATTATTACATAAAAAGAAATTTAACATTAACGAAAATGGTGAGCTAACAATAAAGAATATATTCATTTTAGATCAGATGGACTTTGAAATTTTTATGAGTTTATAAATATTTGTGTAAATATTAACCGTTTACAGGTTTAAATGTCCTAATAAATTCTTTTGGAAAATACAAGTCATGATAAACACTTCATTTATTGAGTGCTAAATGTAGTAACATTAAAACTGTATATAAACCGTTGTCTCATTTAAATACACAAACCGAGCTTACGATTATAATGTTCTAATATGAATTCTTTCGCAGAAAACAAGAATTCTACATGAGTTCAATAAAACTAATTATTTTATTGGTTTAGACATAAATGCCCTTAATCACGGAGCTTTTAGTTAATCAAACACAAAAACTATCGATGGAATTCGCTAAGTCAGGGCCCACTGAATCTATGTACTTCAGCAGAAACATTTTCCAACAAGGTTACGTTCAGGGAATGCTTTCAGGTATGAATTCCCACATACAATATCAAAAACAATATTATCACTTTCCTCCAACTCGGTCTATTATCTGATAATATTTATAAGCACAAAGTTAATTACATTCCAAAGAAAAAGTAATCATAAACTTACACTGTTATTTGCATGTGCAACTGATGGAATAATTAAACGTTGACCAGGGAAAACAGGAGGAAGCCCATAACTCAAAAGAGGCAAATGATTAGCTCTGGCAATCTGAGTAGGGGTTACAAAACCCAACTGAGCAGCGATAGCCGACAATGAATCTCCAGGTTTTACCTTTATAGTACGATTAGTTGACATACTGCTGTAATTACCTCATAAACACAAAACTCTCCTGAAACCTTCATGATGACGTAACAGCGAAATTAAGTAAGTTGAACACTTGACTTAACCACAATTTTGAACATTTATTTCTCTTCACATAACTGGCCAACAAAAGGAATTGTGGATTCCCGAAGTTCAACGAAGGCGACAGACAACACTTGTTAGTTGACGTCACGATGACTAGGTAGCAAAAAAGTTGGCAAATTTTATAGTTTATTGAAAAAAAAGTGAAAACGATATATACAGACATAAATAATCTTGAGTTTAAAGATGACATTTCAAAATCGGAGGTAACTAGTTGTTAAGAAATGGTTAAGCCACAGACTGAATGCTGAAGATAAGAACGCTTAATTACCTTTGTTTTGGAGATTGAAGTGCTCTTTAACTATCTAAAACTAACGAGGTATGCAGAATTTGTTGATTTCTAAAAGCATACGAGCTATTATTTAACAACAACAAACTGAACAAGAATGCATTGGAGATTTTCTGAAAAACTAGTGAGGCCTAAGGAACAGAGGTCAACACACATTTCGAGAGAATAGTGAATAATTTGAAAGGAATCGAAAAATAATAGTAAATAGTGGTATTACTAAGTTTTACGAGAAAAATCTACGTTAACTTATTGGTTCTCATATAATTTGTAAGCGTATACATTAGAAAAATAAATAACATCAGAAACGTTAACACTGCATATAAATCTAAAAATATTTTGCATGCCTTAAAAAGTAAACTGCTTGAGAATAAGAAATCTTGAGACGCCGAAACCGATGACCACAATGTGACGCAACAAACCTTACATCCCACGTTTGGGTCACACTCTCAATATCCAATATCTAATATTCTTCACGGGATAATATAAACTGATTAATTTCTTTTCACTCAGATCTTTTTCTTTCGTTACGGTTCTAGGTATTTGGAAGTGTCGAATGGATAGTAGCCTAGTTATTCGACTGCGATAATTCTAGTCATTTGGCAGCTATATATGAATTTGTATGTCCCGTGACTTGAATGAGTATGTTTGTTTCAAGGCAGTAGGGATTTCGGACACCAGCAGCTACCGTGTTACCATGAGGAAGTCAGTTAGTTGCAATTAGGGGGATAATAAGGATGAAATTCCAATGCTCATGAAAATATTTAAGAACTAAATCAGTAAATGGATAAATAAATTAATTAATCAGTAGTAAAGAATGAGTGAAATGATCGGAATATAAGCATATGAGATGAGACAGAGATAGTTAGTGAAGTATATTAAGTTATTGGTCTGAAGAAATGTCAACAGTAACAACCAGCAGGTTTCAAGACATGCTTCATGTACAACTGGTCCAACATGTTGAAAATCCGTATGTGATTACGTATGTGTCCCTTCTCGAAGCTATCCACTAAGAGGGCTGTGGTCACCTCAGCTGGAAGGGCATCTCAAGAAGCAACAACTATTGGTGGGAAAAGGTGTGTACGAACCCAGGTATTTTCGAGGATTTCCTCGAGCAGCATGCTGGTAATGCTTCGCTAAAGTGTTCATGTTGGGATGATTTAGCATACCTAATATGTTGTACGCAATTATCAGGTCTGTTCTGATCTTCCTCTAAATTAGACAGAATTATCTTAACTGCTGGAGTCTAACTTCGTACAGTTTGTTCTCCAGCCCGATGTAGCTGCTAGTCTCTACACTCCATCCGAAAGCTTTATGTCTCTTTGAAGGGAAGGAGGTGCGATAAAGTTTTGAACCTCAAGGTGTGAGCAGGTGGATGTTTTGATAAAATGTTAAGCATAGTTTCGGAGTAACTGCTCCATGCTCTATTTGCACGAAATAAAGAGTTGCGGTAATCTTGGCTGCGCGCCTGATGCAGTTAGAACTGGTCTCCTGGCCTTCCATGGTAATTAAATCGAGATCGCACTCTGAAGAGAACTTAGGGAGCAAACTTCCGTTGAGGATAAAGGCTGTATGTATAGTATTCGGCAGAATTTTTATCACGGAACATTTCTACTGGTGAATTTTTAATGCGTTTTTTAATACTCATTCCTTAACAGATGTAAGGTCCGCTAGACGCTCAATTGAATGGCCTTCCTTTATTTTTCAACTCTAAATCCAATATCCTATTCCATTTTCACGAGCTAATATAAACCTATTGATTTCTTCGCCTCCGATGTTTGTATCGTCAGCATAGATTAGTGCCGGTGAGTTAATTTCATCTAACAACTCATTAATAATTTTCAGGAAGAGGAGTGGATCAACAGTGGACCCATGTGAGACTCCTGGTATTGAGACTGGCCAGCTCCCATGCACTTGGTCTGTGTTCGCCCTGAAAATGGTGATCCTTAAGTAGATTCAGCTGTCTTTTGAATGATTATGCAGATTGAGTTACAAACGTGAGTTGAGGTAACTAGTTCTATCCGTTGATGATTAGACAGTCATTTGATAAGTAGAATTTATTGCTAGTAGATCGGTGAATCGCAAAGCATGTACATGATGCTCAACTGCTTTCAATCACAAAGAACTCAAACTTCCTGTATCATTGTGAATTCCTTCTTGTTCATGGATTAAAAGTATAAGAAATGTTTATTTCCTTTATTCATTAACATCCAAACACCCTGCTTGCTTACCTATTTATCTCCTTACTCATGAATTATTTAAACACTATTTTTCCTCATATTCCTTCGTCAGCTATCAATCCATCCTTTCCCAAAACTACTTACTGACTGACAAATATCTTACAATATATACCGTTGATTAACTTGATATCTGTGTGATATGTTACATGGATATTTAGTCTAACATACAGAAGCCAAAGTTGTCATAATAACAGTTCAGGAAGAAACAGAGAAACTCAAAAAAGCACAAAAATTATAAACTATAACGAAATACAAATATTAATATACCGAAATGGGATTAAACAGACTACCAAAATGTAGGACAGAAAGAGTCAACAAGAACATATTACAAACGTATACATGGAGGCTTTCCAAAAAGGGTTCTACAGCGGTCCGCAAAATCCCTCCGTACGAAGCAAAGCCCTTTTGATGCCTAAGATCATGGTTCACTCTCATAACATAATCCACACCAGAAGAACGAGTAGGACTTACAGCAGAACGCTTACCCCTCAAGCTCACTAAGTAACCGTACCTTCGCGTAAGGTTCGTTGATTATGTTCTCAATTCCTCGATCTATCGTAGCGTAGCCTGAAGTTTGTATAAACTCTATCCCATTACATCACATGAAGCCGTATGACACGTCATGAAGCTGGTTATATTCTATTCCGGATTTACTCTCCACATTATAAGGAGGATGAATCGTCAATCCACCACCACTTGCTCCGAACAGCAGACACCATGAAATCATTGATGCCAACTCATCTACAGAGGTCTTAGAAGAATAATTACTTCGCAAGGGTGAAATGTTCAATTTTGTCACTTCTTCGCCTTCTGATGACTATGAATGGTATGATGTAGGGACACGATCCACTTCTTCATCTCCTATTACAGAGGAGGTTTGTTCAGCTTTCATCATCAGCTTTCATACTTCATTACTGACATTATGACGATCATTATTATTATCATCACCATCATGGTCCATATCTATTGGACAAGTCATGTCGTTTTGGCCAACACTAGCAACGCTAGGGTGACACGCTTCAATTTTTGTACAACTCATCCCGCTTGATGAAAGAACAGAATCAGTATCACACTTCGAAACCGGCAAGTCCATTTCTCTTTCTTCATGTTCCATTTCAGAAACACAAGTCATATGAACATCAGCATTATCTTTATCAAGCAGCACTGTGGACTGACAGTTACCAACAGACACTTCCTTCTCATCACCAAAGTTACTGTCAACCTGAGATGAATCAATTACAGTCGCACAAACTTTTGCATCCATATTTACGACAGGATTCGAAGACGACAAGACACTAGAAGATCCGTCTGACGGACCAGATTGGCTGATCACTATACGTGGATAGTTTATACTTACGGTTACGCTACCACCGCCGCCGTCACTTCTACGATACTGATGATTACTATTGTCATTACTAGTCACAGCATCCGAACGAAGCTTACGCATCTTAGTCGTAGTAGTATCATACACATGTCGTTCCTTCCCTACTTTCTCACGTTTAGCGGCTGTATGTGAGCGTAATGTGAGTCCAGTACGAAGTGGATGAGTGCCTTTCAATGTTCCTCGATTATCATCATTACTATTACTCACAGCAGTATTATCACTACTATAATTACTCTTATTAGTATTAGTAGCCGTAGTAGTAGAAGTAGTAGCACTCTTTCCATGACATCCGTTCGACTTCTGTGTAATATCCATCTTCACTCGACAAGCATTATTTCCATGGCTACTAATCTCATTCATCCCATTTGTCTTAACACTGCTGGTGGTGCTCGTCCCAGGACCTGCGGTACACGTCGATGATGGTGGAGTGCAACTCGATTCTTCATTCTGATTATTCAGCGCAACAGCATGGCCAGAAAACTTAGATTACCTATCGTGGCTACCAGAATACTGATCTTGAACATTCCCTGTAGTGCCAGTACTGTGACTGATGCTATTGCTACCGTCACCTACATTATCCACGCTCGGACATCCAACCTCGTCATAAACTGAAGTACTAGATGAAACTACACAAGTGACATTTGGGAAAACTGCACAAGTGATAGCGACTCCACCCTCTTTACCATTCGCTTTTTTTATTCACATCTATCACACCACCAGCAGTCACATGATGTGTCAACTCGCCACTATCGTTGTCATTACCCACAGTAGTATTTCCACACTTCACAGTTATTGACGAACTGCAAGCTATTTGGCATGCATGCTTGAGCGCAAGCTACCACGTACACTAACACCACCAACATTACCACTATCGTGATGGCTACCTGGACTAATATATATTTATTCTCAAATAACTACGTTACAACAGTCACGCCAGTTTACAGGCTAGATCAAATTGTCCCAAATGCTTTCACAATTACTGTAAAAGCTCTAGCAGTTAAATTAAGTAGAAGAGTCAGTTTCTGATATCATATTTAAACCATGTCACTGAGAGAAACAGTATAATACAGCCATATTTTCAATAATAATAATCATATATTTATTCTCAAATAACTACGTTATTATTATTATTATTATTATTACGTTACAAGAGTCACGCCAGTTTACAGGCTTCGTATTCGTAGTATTCGTAGTTGTACTCAAACCTAGATGAGACTGACCATCACCTTCTGACTCAGCAAACATCAGCTGTACTTGCTTAGCTACTATTGTCTCTTACTCCAGCATTATGATACTCAGTGGAACTAGACAAAGTAGTACGCAGACATACTGATCGCGCCGCAATAAGAGGTGCTGTGTCAACGTTAACACTTCCTATCCTAGGATCGGCTCCATGTCGTGGCAAATAATCTATCATACGTGGAGGGCCCTTCAAACAAGCTTCGTTCAGTAAAGTCCAACCTACTTCACCTTGTTCGTTTCTGTTCACACCCTCCTTTACTATTTATTTTCTCAAATCCAAATACCCATTCCTTAATCTCACATCTTGAACAGTTAGAAGTTGTCTACCCTCATGTTTCTCGGATCCTTCATGATCCCTAAACCTTTTCATTTCTTCCCTCATCGTTGTCTTCGAAATAGCCATTTTGTCTTCTATTGACCCTGACTTGTCAGTAGAACAGACATCTGCAAGATGTACATCATAAGGCTTACGTATTCGGTCCTCCGGTGACTGTAATTTACTAATATGATTAACAACTCTTTTTCTAAACTTCGAATATGATACAGGTCTAAGAACAGTTGTAGAATTTTTATGTCATGATTTCAGGTGACAGTTTGTTTTCACATCACATCCTATTTTTGGGCCATTCGCCAACCGTCCAAATATACTACTTGCTACTTTTGCACGGGACGATATAAA